TTTCCTGTGATAAATGATAGATCCAACATCGATCCGAAACTTTGAATTTTTAAAATCTGATTCCAGATTTCTAACGACGCCAACGTTGCCAACTTCCTAATGACTCGACGAAAGGCCAACCTGAATGATACTTATATTTTTCTCAGCATAAATAATTTCGTATAGTCGTGGAAAAACACCACTTTTCATAACGGTAGCAAAATCGAACCTTCGACAGATTTCAGCATCACTAATCCCTGCAATGAATTTGTAACTCCGTGCGACAAAAACGAAAAAATTTAAAAACTCTCGAAACAGTCACGAAATAAGCGGCCAAATAAATATAGTAAAAATGCGTTTAATTTTTTTTTCCAGAAAAAGAAACTAAAAACGTAGTTTTACTATATTTGGCTTCTACTTTTGGGAGCATATATTTTTTTGTGCAAAACTGACTTTTGCTCGGTGTAATCCTTGTTATCATTAACTCGATTTTTTTTTTGAAAAGGTGACTTATGCCACTTTAATAATAAACGGCTTATAAGCCAGCATAATAATACGGCTTTCCCACGACACCCCAATTACGTAGTTCGCTCTCTCATTTGTAATTCGCACTCCAATTACCCTTCGAATTATGTTATTCGCCATACAAAAGTTTGAGAGCGAATATCGGTTCCGTCCCTAATTTAACGGAAATTTATCGAAACTAGCTGAAAAATCAAAACTTCCACTTTTTCTGAGTACGAAAAGTAAAGTTTATCAATGTATATATTCCTAATTTAATACGGAAATTTACACATTTTTAGGAAGAACCTACATTTTGCATAAATTTTGCAGCGAAGAAAAACAAAAACAAAACACCTTGGAAATGGGGTAACTCGCGATCGTAATTGGGGGAGCGAACAAAGTAATTCAGGATGCCGTGGGAAAATGCTAAATAGTCCGAACACAATGAAAACGACAAACTACGGGCCACAGCTGTCAAATTATTTTTCCACGTATTCTTGTGTAGATAATTCCTTGGAATATTTCCACGTTCTCACTACTTTTGGGGGCCTCAGACTGAGCAAACCACACTAACCAAGGCTATTCTACAGTGTCATTATAGAGTTTGTTAACCATTTCTATTTCCGATAGTTCTAATTGGATTATATCTGGCAAGCGAATAATAAAGTGAGACCCGATTTCCCTGGGCACCTGAACATTGCTTCTTTTGCTTTTGAAAGAGTAATGGTACAATACGACACTAACTTACTGCGAGTTTGTCTAGTTTACTAGTCCATTTCTTGTTCAACCGCGGTCTTAAAAGACTTTGCAATCCAGCCCTAGGAGCTGCTGCTTAATCCATCGTCCATGATTTTTCGTAAGGTCAATGAAAATGCTTTCAATAAATCCGCCCGATTAATAAAAAGACGCACAATATACTCATATTTTTTGGTAATAACCAAGTTTTTATTTGCTATTATTTGGTTTTCGCAACAATTTTTGCTTTTTTATTTTTATCATAAATGTTTTCATACCAATAAACAGAGATTTCTTAATATCATATGTATATATTTTTATAAAGAAAACTTTCCATTGTCAAAAGTTTTTTATAAATATCTTTAAAAAGCAAAAGGGGTTGGTTTATTTTAAGGCAAAAGGCGTTGTGCTACTAACCACTCTAGCACGACAGACAATTAAAAGTTCAAAAAAATAAATAAATCGTAATAGTGAAAGAGAAAAAAAATATGTGTTTCCACACATTCCCAATTGCGCTATTTGGGTAATATTCTTAATTTTTGCTAAATTTGCGCTACACGGGTTTCATTAAAAATCTGTGCAAATTTCATAAAAGCAAATAAAAAGTTGTCCTATGAATAACTTTAAAGCAAAAATAAAAATAAAAAAAATTTAATGAGGTACGTACAAACAAGATGCAACAGTTTTTTTTTTAACAAAGCAACCCTGTTTGGTATTTAGAGCTTGCCAAAGGGACAACCGAAATTAAAAGCCGCAATGTGACAGAAATCGGTATTGAAATCAATCGTGTAAACAGTTACAACATAAAACTGAATAGAAATTGCGCAATTTGACGATAGTGGAAACATAATGTAAAAAATAGGTACTGACATCGGTAGGTACGTACATTAGACCGTACCAGAAAAAAAAGTCACTGTACACCCCGAGTCTAAATAACATCTTAAAGGCAATTTAAAAAAAAAAAATATTTATTTTAGGTCAAATTAACGTTTCTGCAGCATTTACAGACAGATCTTAAAGTATAATCTATCGATGCCCTTGTCTCACAGAGACAATTTTTTCTCCAAAGTTCATTGACCTCAAACACCCTCTGCTACTTCTCACCTACCGGATCTCAGTTCCTGACACCCTAATGTCAGTAAATTAAAGCTCTCCAAAAATCATTCGACTTTTGCTAGGGAAGTATTTTTTTTATTGCCAAATGTATGTAGGTGCCATCGAAAAAAAAAACGAGACACCTAGGTTCGGCCAATTTTTTTTTTTCGAAATTTCCTTGAAAAAATACTTTTAACTCAGGGGTGTACGGCGAAATTATGTAATACAAATCAATGGACCTAACATTTTGAGATTGTTGCGGGAAATATTAGTAAATCTTTCACAATTGCATAACACTCGATTTTCAGCGAATTCCAGGGAGCCTGTTCTTGGTCTATGAAAAGGTAAAGGGATTTTCGTAATTTCACACAAAATTACGATGCTTTTGACAAATGTTATGCCGTATTTGCACTAGGCAAAATTTAAAATTTTTTCTCAAAATTTCGAAATTTTTAATGGAAAATTTTTGCGTATACAGTTTTATAGCCCATAATAAAGTTTAAGTTTCAAGCGGCAAAAAATCGTGTTAATTTTCAAAAGCGTTTGTTTGCTGACCGATTTTGGCGCTTTCCATATTAATTATGCATTTCTTATGGAATAAAGGGAAAAAGACCGTTTGCAAAAAATTTTCTAAAGATCAAAAGATCAAAATTTTAACTTGAATACATTGTGAATATTTAATGAAAGCATCAACATGTGAACACTCTTTTGAGTCACTGTACATAGATCGTGCTCTTTCCGGCTACGTAGACCCGAATGTCGTGAACATTGCCTGCCAGAAAATGTTAAAGTAAAGAAAGTGATCAAAATATGGTACTTCAAATAAATGAAAATACTATATTTTTTTTTTACTTTTTTCGCAATTACATATATATTAATAGATATCTCGTAATTAAACTTTTTGTTTTGATAAATTCATCAAAAAATTCAATTTAACCTTAATTAATTTTTAAGCGAGTTCAGCGCAAAACAGGTTCATTCATAATTTGAACACAAGGCAACATATTTTGCTCAAAGAAGCGTTTTTTGTTTGATTTTAAATCTAATTTTGACACAAAAATGTAAGCATTTGAGAGCTGTAATTATACCTATTTATGCAGAAAACTATGTTTTTATACAAAAGAGGAGCATAAAAAGGATTAAATACTAACTTATTGGGGTAGTTAAAAAAATTTGCTTTCAATAAAATAATATAAGCGTAGAGAGGATAGTATAAATATATAGTATGTATCTATGTATATGTATATAGTTTTTTTTAGAAGTTTGTATATGAAGTATGAAAACTTGTAACATATGACAAGACATATGTATGTATGTAAGTATAATAATACCATTCATGAATTGCATGCATATGTATGCATATATTTTAATTACCTTTTTTTTCTGAACTTATAATATTTTGTGTGCATGTATGCGTGTATTTAGAGTTTTATACGCACATAAGCGTCGCTTTGCCAACATTGCATTCCACAAGACCAATTTAAGAGTTAGTTTTCTTATATATTTCTATGTATGTATGTATATTGCTGTTCCTCTTTGTTTTACTTTAGGTTTTGCTTAGGCATGCAGTGTTGTTTATATGTATATTTTGTGTATAATATAGCCTTTTTATATTATCTCATTCCATATACATACGTATATATCTCGAAATGTTTATGCCTGATTTTGAGAATGACCAGTTTTAAATGAACTTTGCAAAATCATAAACAAAATGTATAATTAAATTATTTTATTACACTATTATGCACACAATAACAATTGGCTTTTGAGAAGAAGCTTTACTGTTTTATTTACGAGTTCTTAATTAATATTTAATTTAATTATTTCACTAATGTACATATATGTATTTCTTGTGCTGTTTTCTACAAGTGCTTTTCATACGCACATGTAGCACGCTCACACATAATCGGCCATAATGCATGACGGAAAAGGCTACAAAGCTTAAATATGCTTAAAATTAAATAAAAATGAACTTAGCATGTCCATAAATATAAAAAAAAATCACAATATGAAAAGATAAATGATGCGAAAACACATCAATTGAATACATTAGTGCATATACATATATGTAAGTATGAATGTATGTATGTATGAAATTTTAATGAATGGCAAATGTAAAAATTACTGTTCGATAATGCATACAATGACGCCGAAAAATAATCCTGCATTAATTTGTGTAGAATATGTACATATATCTGAATGAAAGCTTCCAGTATTCGAAAATAAGTACAGACTAATGGCGCTTATTTTACGAAAGCACCATTTTGTTAAACTCATTGTCGACTTGTTGGTGCGATTAATCTTAAATGTCAATGTATGCACGAAAAATGTATATCAGACATAAATTAGTTGCTATCAATTTGCTTCAAACGATGAATAATTCGATGTTGAATTACATACAACTTTAAATAATCACAATTTTTTGCAAATATTTCTCAACAAAAAATAGTTACTTATGTATGCTTAAATGAATATATCACGATTTTATTTAAAAAATAATAGCTTAATTTAATGGCGATGTTTCATGAATAAATGAATGTGTGTATGTTTATAACAATATCAACAGTATGACTGAACGTTTAGAATTGATCAGATTTTTTTAAACTCGAAAAAAATGGCTAAACACAAAATTAGAGGAAAGCATAAATTTTTTACTTAAAAAGAAGCAAAAAAAAACGCAAAGGCAGCAAGACATAAAAGATTTTTTAAATAAGTTGCAATTAATCGTTTACTGAAGATTTTTTAAATAACGCGATCCAAATTACGATTCAAAAACTTAATATTCTTGCCAACAAAAACGAAGTATGCATTTCCTTCATTCTCTCTCATAGCAATCACTTTCAACCCTACTTCAACTAGCACTTTACTATAGCTTCTTGCTTTCATTTCTTTTTATGAATATGTGTTTGTGTGTGTTTAATATGCCTTTAAATAGTTCATATATTAATTAAGTTTAAGATAAGTTTTGAGAGTACGAAAGCCTATTTTGGTGAAGGAGAAGCCACACCTTTTGTTTTTGCGTCTTTGCGCATCTTGGTAACATATTTCACTTGCAAAAATATGTTGTATATATGTTTTTCTATTAACTCCATCCTGCCTGCACACATTTTTTTTATTGCTTTTAAACGCCTCACAATGGATAGCCCATAGCGGCGGATAAAAGCGGCTCCCACGCACGATTTATATCCATGTAAAGCATAGTGCATTGCTCGGCTATTAAGTCATCCTCATCCAGCACCGTTATGGGGAATAAATCATTCTAAAAAGGTGCAGAAAACGAAATCGTTAATAGGAGACTTAATTTTTGCACCACCTCCCTCCCTTCCCACTCATTTACTCACATTCTTTGCCTGCCACAAGTGTTCGAGTAGCCGCAGAAAGCGTTGCATTTCCGAGCTGCTCGCAAAGAAGATCACCAAATCATCGGTACTCTCACGCACTTCCTGACAAGAGAACTCCAATACACACCACCATGTATCATTGTGTGATGGTATCTTAATGCCGGTCATTTCTTTTATATCCGCGCAAGTGAGTATCTCGAGCCCGGAATTTTTGCCATAGACGCTATACATGTTGGAGTAACTTGCGTTGGGTAACTTAGTGCCGCATTCCGCTTGTAATTGCCGCGAATAGTTAGTGATGTTGGTAGTAGTGGCTATTGAGGTTGCGTTCGTAGTGGTGGTGGTAGTAGCATTGGTGGAAGTCGAATGTGTTGTATTACCACCTCCTGTAGCTGTGGACTGCGATAGCTGTGAGAGTTTAGTGGGTGTAGAATTCATAGATGAACAGGAGCGTTGTGCGAAACGCGTAGGTGTGCTCATGGCGGAACTTAGCTGTGATAAGATGGTAGATGAATACATAAGTAAGTGTAATGATTAAATATATAAAATAAACTATAAAGAATAATTAAATCAATGGAAAAGAAATTGAATTCTTGACATTACCAAACTTCCTGTTTCTCCAGTCATTTGACTGTATTCATCATTAACGCCAACATTGAAGTCCTTGCCAACACCGGCCATGGTGGTTTTTGGTGCCTTTTCAGTATCAATTTTGATTTGATTCAGTGGCGCGGAAAAATCTTCTCTCAATGTGATCAAATGATTTTGGGTCACTACGAGCGAACAGCCAAGGGTCTTATGTTTCTCTTGCATTTCAAAAAGCTGGAAGAAATTTAAATTAATATACATACAAACAAACATATAAAGATACCATCTTTAAAAACTTACACCACTTGCAGTCTGTAGTAGCGCTTGCAGCCATTCGGATGCGACATACTCATCTGGTGCAGCTAATTGCAGCAGTTGACCTTTCAAAATTATTTCGAAACAGTGTGGTCGTCCAGCTTTAACGGCCCGCCGCGCACCTTGGCATTCAGCAAGCGCCATGGCCCAACTAGGTATTTTTTGGGTCGAATCATTAAACATGTACAAGACACCAGCTCTACAAAAACACAGAATAGAAGTTTCATACTATATAGAATAGCTGGACTCTTTGTGTAACTCACTTCAAAAGGAAATATCCTGGATTCCAGATGTGCTTGTTTGCGCTATTATTAGATTGATGCTCTTTAATGCGCCGGTGCATGAGAAAGCCTTTTACATGAGGCCCCAAAGGCTCTTGTTCACTGCCTAAAACGCCAGCGGGCACATTCACTACCGCATAGTACATCCAAGTGTCTGTGGCGCCAACCGATGAATTTTCACGCACAAAGGCTTGCAATGGCGCAAGATGAGCAAATGATAGCTGGCCGACAGCTGGCAAAGAAGAACCACTGCGACGCGCGCACATTTCCAAATTTGCTACCAAACCATCAGCGGGATATGGGCCACCGGCAAGTAATACTTGTTGCATATCTCGGGTGCTATTGCTAAGCAACACAGTGTTGCCGAATGGACCCATCTGAAAGAGAACATATGTATGTATTCACAAAGCAATGTATTACTTTCTAGCGCGAATTCAAGCTTACAAGTATTACATCCAGCTCAGCGTAGGTGAGCACGAATTTTGAGCATAAACGATTGCGCACTAAATCTGCAACGTACAATGTACGATCGGTAAGAAAAACTAAAACAGGTGTCATGTAGCCTTCGCAACTATAGCCGGTGTATAATTTAAAGACCTGAACGTGGAAATAATGCATGATGTTAGTACTTATTATCAGCGACCGAAATGCCCAACTTACCTTCATCAGCTGCTCTGTGGGATCGCGCAGTATATGCAGATAATTTCCATTAAATATATCAATTGATATCTCCCCAATTCCAAGTTCGAAACGCGACACATCGCCTGGCAGATCGTCAATTTGCACCAACTCACGTCGCGGCGAATTAGCACCCGACATTTCAATCTCCATTGCAATTTCCGCATTCAAATCGTCAATTAGCTCATAGTTCTTTGGTTTCACTCCGGGTACATACAAATTTCCCGAGAATAGTCTCTGCTCACTTTTCAACTTGCCAGCAAAGAAATTATTTTTGCGTATGGAAGATTCCAGTATCTTCTTCTGTGTAACATTGCGCAAGAAACGATTAATTAATGATGTTTTTGCATTGTTTGTCTGTGGTGGCTTCAATAGATTCGCATAGTCGCTCATAGATTGTCGCTCACTCAACTCACTGGGGTAATCAACAATAACAATATCACTTTCATTTTTATCCGTATCCGTTGTAATGGTTATAATATCATCAAACTCTTCGCTGAGTATGGTGCTCTTCGAATCACGTCCACAGCCACCACGTACACCAATGTAACTACCAGCTGCGCAACCGCCGCCACCAACCGAACTACTTGCTAAGCCGACAGTGCTACCGACATTAAAAATATCAGGACTAAGCAAAGACGGATCGGATGGAGGACAAGCAGCTGTATTGCCATTGCTTCCCGAAATTGTTCCATAGCGTTGTGGTTGTGCGGCCAAGGTGCTGCCACTAGCATGCTTCTTCAGTGGCGAAGGCAAGTGACGCTGCTGTTTTTCTATGTTTCCACGCAGTTCTTGTCCTATAGCTAGGCTGTTGTTGCTGCTATTGCCCACACTACCAACTGAAATTGAAGCACTGACAGCTTTTGACATCGCTGGTGGCAATGAGCTCGCACTGGAAGTGTTGGTCAACTCAGATATTGTCGATGAAGAGATTGTGTTGGGTAATCGATGGTTGGAAAGTTGCTTGAGATCGTTAGCATTCGTAAGAGAGTTGGTATTGGGTGCTAGAAAGCAAAGTACATATATTATAGCATATTGGTATTGAACAAGTAATTTTTTAGCAAAAAAAAAAAACCGACTTCAATTCTCATATACATATGTACAAATTTAAGATTATCGTTAATTTCTTCATGATCCGATGATCGGATGTAAAATAAATTAATATGGGACCACCAGTGAGGTAGCACCTTTCCTTTATAAAAAGAATTATGGAAATCGGTTAACGTGGTCCAAAGTTATGCGGTAACAAAATATTCCGACGAATTGATAACCTTTCTCCTTTTTGTGAAGTCGGTTAAACATTTTTAACCGACTTCCAAAAAAGGAGGAGGTTATCAGTTCGTCGGAATATTTTTTTAATTTTATTTTTTTTATGTATGTTACCGCATAACTTTGGACCACGTCAACCGATAATTCTTTTTGCATCGGAAAGGTAGTGTCTCAGAGGTGGTCCCATACTAATCTGGTTAAGATCCGATCAGTGGATCATGAGATAGATTTTTCTAGTGCTCGTTTCCGAAGTAAATAAATTTTCAAATTCGAAATTTTTGACCAATAAATATTACTATCAAATTTTTCTACTCACAGAATTTCATGTCAATGCCTGATCTCTGCTGCGTTTCTGCAATATTAATACCCTTAGTAGCCGCTGTTGACGTCTTTTTAGCATTGGGCGTTGAAGTTGAATCCTTGTTGAAACTGCGAAAGAAGTTTGAGAATGTCTTGGCTATGGGAGCAGCGCTAAATGCACTACGCAACTGATCCGGCTCTGGTTGTGCGATTGGTGTATCATCTTCCAATAGCAAGCTAGAAGCCACACTGCCAGGCGTATGGCTAGCTGTATCCAAATCGAGATTAAGCATTTCATTTGTATCATAGCAGTAGGAAACACCTGTATGCTCGAAAACAGTGCTCTCACAATTAACAATAAATTTGTTACGAAATTGTGTCGGTGGCTCAGTAGACGGCTGCGGCTGTTGAATGTCGGTGACGGCGACGTCATTCGACTCCACACTCCGTTGCGTTTGCGTATTGGTGTTCACGAGCTCATCGCGCTGATCTGCATCGATTTCTTCTTGCCTCTGCAGCGTCCTGTTGGGCGTATCTGCGACAGTTTTCTCATCACTGCTTTGACGCGTTGGTGCATACATTTCTTCATCGTTCTTACGTCGCAATTGCTCATCCACATTGTGTACAAATTTCTTAACCCCTTGCGACTTTTTAGAGCCATCGAGGCTTTTGCTTAGGAATGGTTTCTGTTTGAGTGGTGGCGAAGGTGGTGATATTATTTGATCTTCTGCTGGTTTTGTCGATTTATGCTCTGGCGTTTGTGGCTCCAGTTCTGGTATGCACTCGACAACTGATTGTAGATCTTCGGAGCCTTCGGGTACGCCGCGTTCCGGAAGCGGCATGGTGAAGATACTCTTCAACGATCCAATAATTATTTTGCTACTGTTATCAATCAGTTGATTCATATCATGCACATTGAATTTTTTCACTCGTGTACTCAGATCCTGCTCGTAGATGATGTTGGTATTGCGTTTGGGTTTTTTTAAACAACTTGACTTTGGTTTCTTTTCCTTGTTCCAAACGGATTTCTTCTGGTTATTCTCGTTTAGGTTGTCGATATTTGGTTCGGAGAAATAGCAGTTGTCACCTAAAGGGAAGAAAATAGAAAATTAATTAGTTCAATTATCTTCGTATTTTTTGTGCGAGTGCGCTTTTAGACAAAAAATAGCATTCCAAAAGGGAGTTTGGAGTTACTACCATACTTTTTAGTAAAAAAAGGTTTCCCTACTGCTTATCTATCTGCTTATAAAAATGCATATATGTATGTTAATTTACCAGTAAAATTTTTAAATTTCGATGCATGATGCGTCTAAAGCTCTTCATCAGTTTTCCTAAGTCAATTCTACGCTATTGACTGTGACCTGCGAATTTTTCTTTTAGCAAAAAAAAAAAATAAACTTATAATTCTCATTCTTTTTTTCGTAATGGTTAAAACTTTTGAAAATTAATGCCAAATAATCAGCATTATCATGAGTTTCATTTTTCCCGAACCGGTTCCCTTTCACGTTTTGTTTCCATGTATTTACTATGGGCCGATTACACATTTTTGGGTGAAAATTTTTTCGGGCGAAACTCAGGATAAGGTAGAACGTTTTTTTGTTGTATTATTGTAGGTAAAGTCAAGAAGCATTTCTTCCTCCCTCAAAATCTTTTTTGCTGACTGCTACATTATCAATAAAGCAAAACACAAGCCCCGTTAATCGCAATAATGACTCACCAATTATATTATTGTTGGCATTACTCATGCCGATGCAATCGCATGAACTACTTTTTGCCTGTCCATATTGCTGCCTGTTTGAATTTTTTTCATTTTCATCTGAGTCCAAGCTGGAATTCGAACTAGAGCAGGAGCATCGATACAACACTTGTTGGCCTTCTGCTCCAATGTTGCTCACACCTGCATTTTCGTCTGCAACGCTACGTTCCTTTGGCATATACTCAAAAACTCCTGAATTATCATATTGTAATGCCTTTTGTTCCTCCATATCGTAAACATCGGAATTGCCATAATCGAGTACATCAGAGCATGCATTCCGATAGACAACACAGCGTCGTCTTTGTTCGCAACTTTTTTGTTCTCCTTCATCTTCGTGCGCGTGCGCACACAACTCGGATTGTGCTACATTTTTGCCAGCTGCACCGCCATCACCCCCCGAACACCACGAATAGCGTCCAGCAGGGCCAATATGTTGTAGTGCCTTTCGACCTGCCTTATAAGTTATGAAGCCATGCTCAATGTGTATGTTGTCGGTGCGTGTATTCTTGAGTATGTCCTCGTGAAAAGAGACACGCTTTTTGGGCGCCTTGGGTGCGATAGGTGTTTTGCGTACTTTTCTCCGATATACGATATTTTCTGTGGCATCGAAAGTAGAACAAGTGCTCGTGGTCATTGCTTCTTCGATGGGGACGTTATTAAGGGAGTTATCGTTTGTCGAGTCTATTGTAGTTACATTAGAATTAGTATCCACACCAGCTACTATCTCTTCGAATGCCGCACTAACGAAATGACGTTCTTCCACTGCTGACGGTGGCCCTGCCACGACAGCCACCTGTTCATTACTATCAGCGCGTTCTTGTGCATATGATTTTAATTCTTCAAATTCGAAACCTGTCTGTGAAGTTATGGATTCTACCATAAATTCGCTTGATTCCGAGTCCAGCATCTGTACACCAGAGTCACTTGGTGTCGTATCCTCCAATGTGCTATTTATACTGGTATTCATTTTGTCTAACACAGAAGTGGTTTCAAACTTGTTGCCTGCTTTGTAAGCGATCCCTTTCCGGTCAACGCTATTGGCAGCACACAATGGTGATTCCATTATAACATCAAAGGAGGATGGTGGCCGCTCCACTAAAATTTCTGTATATAGTTGAAGATAGTTATGTAGATATGTATATGTATGAAAAATGTATACACGTTAGAGTATTTTGTAGGTAGGTATATCGGGTACTGTTTAGTAAGTGGCCCACCTCTTTCGGGGTATTGCGTCCAAAGGGGTGACCCGATCCAAAAAAAATTGCACACACTTGTAGCCAAGGGTCTACCCATTATTTTAACATCCACTATTGTAATTTTGGGTCACTAATTTATTTACAAATTGGGTTTGAAATATGCCCTTTTTTGTAAAATTCGGAAATTAGCGTAAATTTATCACTCCTATTCTCCTTAAAGCAGCTACATCAGCAATATATTTTTATATTCTCCTTCACTTTACACTTTACTCGATGAGCTATAACTTTCTTTATAACTATAATATTAACCAATTAATCACAATTTATTAAATAAAAACACCTTCTAAATCATGCGTCTGACTTTTGTTGCATATGCAAATTAAATGGCGTAGTTCAGCTGTCAAACTCCAAAATATGCAAAAGAATGAGAGACAAAAGAAAATAGGATATAACCCTGTAAGCATTAAAAATATACAAAGGTGTTCTCTGTAAAAGGTATTCAGCTCCTTTTCTTCGCAAAACAGAAAGGAGAATTCTACTGCCTGAGGGTTATAATCCCTAAGTGCG